ATTTCGTTCCTAAAATAGCAATTCCTGCTTTTTGAATCCATTAACTTGAAATATTTGACCCTAAAAAACACGCGGAAACAATTTTTTCGACTGCGAATAAATTATTTTCATTTTACTAAAAAAAAATTCAAGAAAATTTTTAAAACTTCTTTAATTTTAAGGCCCATTAGTATTTTTCAAAGTAGAAACAATACATTTATCAATAAAGTTGTTGGCGTTTAACTTTTTTGCCTTGGGTATCGAGTTACAGAGTCGGTTAAAGCGTTTCACTAATTATGATCTTCAAACATCCTCCACACTTAAATACTTTTCTTTTGTTTTCCTTCACTGCCATCTGACATATGTCTCTAACTAAATCGTAAAAATAATATTTTTACTATAATTATCCCAATTTAATATAAAACGCGACTTAGACGCCATATTAGTTTTGTATTTCTGTGAATTAGTATTTTAAACAACGTTGCAGTTTGTACTAAATTAGGCTTCTAGCCAACGTCGGTATCCAACGTCGTTTCGACTCAAAAATTATTCTCCAAACTAGTGCAGACTAGGGTTGGCACGAGGTTGTGCCGACGTTGCGCCCCGACGCACAGTGCTTCGAACATATGGCTCTAGAGGACAAAAATGCAAAACTTCTCTTTTATTGTAGGCAATTTATTCAAACTAGGTTTATTTGACACAAATGATGAGTACTCTCATTGTACTAAATGATGATGTTCTTAGTTCCACGTTTATGAAAAAAAAATCTTTTAAATAATAAAAATGTGGGAGCTGTGTTCCATCTAAGGAAATAATAATTTATAGTATGAAAACGGTGTAAGTATTAAATAAATCTCTGTGATAAAAAAAAATTGAAATAACATTAGAACATGATTCCTACAATATAAGCCTAATATAAGATAAAAATATTTTTCTTTAATGAAAAAGAGACATTAATGTTATATTTAATTAAAAAAAACTTAAGATACTATAAATTTACTTTAGGACAGAAAAATGCATAGATCGTTACTACTCTGATTCAGAAGAATCACTGCTGACAGAATCTTCCTAATTTATAATATCCAAATCACAGGTAGATGAAGTATCCTCATATATAAGATATTTCTGTACATCATTTTCTAATATGTTACTTTTTCGCATTGTTACTGTTCTTTTTGTTGGTATGAGGGGTTCGGATGTTAATAGTTACTTCTTTAATAGACCATATCCATATATTATTTTTTCCTTTTCTTGGGTAAGAGGTTTTATAATAAATTGAAAGATGGAAACTTTTTTTATGCGACGTTTCGCTCCAACATAGTGGGCTTTTTCAGGCACAATTGGTGTCTCATTTGACTGGAAGGTTCATCAATATCTAATAAAGAACACATTTTTTAAAATACAAATAATTTTGAGTTCTTGTCCTTATGATCAAGTCAAGTATTAACCAGATCGGCATTACTTATCAATTTTACTCCATCTGAAAAGTATTATAAAATAAAGTTCGTCGCAAGCAGACGCAGGTGAACTATACAAAAATTAAAAGTGTATGAATATGACAACATAAATATTCAATAAATACGATATGTTTTGATATGTTTTTTTTAAATACCTTTTTGAAGTTTGAAAACGTAAAATTTTTATACCCATTTAAGAATCATCTTAAAAAATAAATAAAAACTAAAGAATCACGAACTTGTTTAGAAATACTAACTCGTTTACGTTTAGCTCCATATACAGAACTACTATGAATGTTATTCTTTTCATTGATATAAGATAATGATCGCAAAATTTATTTTTAGTGAAAATATTTGCTTACAAAAAAACGCTGTTTATGAAAACTAATATACAGGATGGTTGAACATTGCTATAAGTATAAAATTACATATTCAGATATTAGTAAATTTTAACTTTTTTTTCGATTTTTGTCCATGGGACGAAGCACTGTGCGACGTTTGGTCGCGTGACACAACGTTGTCCCGACGTCCAAATGCTGCTTGGGCATGGACATTTAAATATTTTTAAATATCTTAAAAATCAAAGCATTTAGACATATACTAAACCTTTATAATAAATGCCTTATTTTATGTCAAAGAATCTAAAAATGAAATAAAATACTAGGTGATCCATAAGAACAAATATAATTTTGGTGTGGTTCTTAGTTCTGACAAACGCTGTACATTTGAAAATAATTTTAAATTATGCACATTGCTTCTCTACATATACCCATAACATATTTTGTTTCTACATCTTTCCGTTTTCGTATAATCAACCGAGGCGAATCAGGTGCGCCACCCTGTATACAGGGTTGTTCACCACATACGACACGGAGTATTGTAGCTAAACGATGAGATTTTTATAAATTGTAAGTTTGGGGTTCGTTGAAGGACTATTAGAGCTACAATTTAAAAATATTTTTACAAGATACAGAGTGTCCCAAATAAATAAAAAATATCAAAGTTGTATTTTTTTAAACGGAACACACTGTATATTATTACATTTTTAGTTTCTACGATTAAAATAAAGGTGAATTTGATTAAGGTTTATTATACTTAAACCTTACCGTTCTTGAAATATTTTCAATTTTCTGAAATTGCAGTAAAAATTTTAAAGCTTCATTTCTCCAAGGGTATCAATGTTTTTAATACTAAATATTTAATGAAGTTTATTTATTGATCAGTTATTGTGTTGCAATAATAAAAATAATACTACCTTATACAAAGTGTCTAAAATTTTATTTTAAATAATTATTAGCTTCAAACGGCAATAACTTCTTTAATTTAAATGGAATGCCCTGAATATTTTAGGAGAATCAGATGCACAATTAAATTGTCTATCAAATTGTATTATACCATTTTTTACCTATCCCTTCAAGTTTTCGTAGAAAATGCATTTTCTTATAATTTAGACCTCATTTATCAATATATCCATGGAATATTGACATTTTAGATTGTTTTTAAAGCAACAAATGTACAAAATGTACAGACTACGATAATATTACTAGCCCATTTGTATGCAAAAAGAAAACTATTTAAATCTTTATAAAATAGTATACCATTAATTAAATATAACACCATTATTTCCGCCCATATACTAATTAATTACATACTTAATTGTGTTCGTTAATAAATTATTATAAATAAATGTGGATTTGAGTCAGAAATCAATATAATAATAAGTTATCAAATTAAAGTCTCTGTTGTTATAAATAAGCATTTATTAAAAAATGAAATATCATTTTTAAGGTGTTACTTTTTATCACACTGTCTAATGCCCATACAAAATCCAGTTTTTTAGTATTTGGAGCAATTATTATTAATCAACGCAAACAGTCAGTTAATGTAGTTTGAATACTGGAATCACAGCTGGAATCATATTAATTGATCCTCTTTAACAAATATTTAAACAGTTTTTTTTATTTTTTAATGAAATAAACGAATTATATCGACAATATTAGTATCTGTACTCTTTAAAATTTGGTACATCTTTAAAAATAATCTAAAAAGTCAGTATTCCATGGATATATGGGTATTGATAAATGAGTTCTAAATTACAAGAAAATGCATTTTCTACGGAATCTTGAAGAGATAGGTAAAAAACGGTATAACACAATTTGATAGACAATTAAATTGTGCATCTGATTCTCATAAAATATATAGGGTGTTCCATTTAAATTAAACAACTTATTGCCGTTTAAAGATATTAATTATTTAAAATAAAATTTTGAACATTCTGTATAAGGTAGTACAATTTTTATTATTGCAGCACAATAACTGATCAATAAATAAACTTCAGTAAATATTTAGTATTAGAAACTTTCATACCCTGGGAGAAATGAAGCCTTAAAATTTTGACTGCAATTTCACAAAATTGAAAATATTTCAAAAACGGTAAGATTTAAGTGTAGTAAACATTTATCAAATTTACCTTTATTTTAATCGTAGAAACTAAAAATGTAATAATATACAGGGTGTTCCATTTAAAAATACAACTTTGATATTTTTTGCTTATTTGGGACACTCTGTATCTTTAAGTATCCGCCACGGTTGATGGCGTCATACGTCAAGGTCCAGAGGTTCGCAAGTGCACTGTAGTGATGACTCATCATCATCGGCAGAGCTAGACAGGTGACGTCATCCGTCTGGCGCCAGAATTCTTGGAATTCGGTGTCTGGACCGGAAGTGGCTGTCTGCCTCAAGTAAGGCCATGACTACTTCTGTGATACAGGGGTATATTAATACAAAATAATAATACTATTTAATTTAACTTCCAGAATATTTAATATTCACTGTAATAATAGAACGATAAGCTATGTTATTATCACCGCCCTTATAACAGCTAGGATTTTTCCAATGATCATTTCACCCTGGAGTGGAACTCTGTAACGAAAAGGCGATTGGTAGCGATGAAGAATACTGTCGCTTGCCGTTTAGTTTGTACGGCCAAGGTCAGTATTCTTCATCGCTACCGATCGCTATTTAGTTTGATTTAGTTACAGAGTTCCAGCCCTGGTTTCTGCCGATGTATAGACCTTGTATAGACGGATCCCTTCTTCTATGCCCGCTAAAATAGGATGCTAGTTTTTTTGGCATCAAGCGAAGGTGAAGGTTATGGTAGCATATTATGTTTAAATCCATTTGAAACGTTCGGTAAAAGGTTCTTAGGGGAATTATATTTTCGGGCAATTTTCGTTTCGGTGATTTGCTTTCGGTCAAGTTTTCTTAATTGAAGGGGTGGCTGCAATAACCAGCAGCTACACTTGTTTATGACATTGAGATTTTTACTGATATGGCAACGTTATTGTTTTCAGTTTGCAACAAGAACCAGATAGCTATTAGAGCGATTGATTCCTCAGATACCGGAATTTTTTGTAAATCCCAACCAAAAGAGAGTGTATAACAGATCTGAGTTATGCGGACGAAGTCGAGAGCAAAAGCTGGTTTGTTACATGAAAATATGTTCCTAAACACTTGAAATGAAAGGAAAACTATAAAATTATTATGATTATTTTATTATTTAACTTATAATTTATACTTAAATTAATCATAAAAAACATTTTTTGTACATATTTTACATACTATTAAATAAAGGACAAAAAGAATAAATGTGAAGAAAAATATAATATTGCAGCGTGATACATTTTTAAGAATGATTAGCTAACTCTAAATGACGATACTTCTCAGGGAATTCTGTGTAGGCTAGTACCTGATACGAATGTATAGCCTTTTCTGAATTATTATAAACGTAATACATAATAGCATCGCCTATATTTCCAGATAAAATTTTTCCAATTATCGTTTGTCCTTGAAAGTGAATTTTACCTATGTTTAGCAACTGACCATCTTCCATGCCACCTATAACAGGATGTACATTTGCTGGAAGGATGTGAGCGTCCGTCTTTGATCTGGCTACCCATATAAGCTTTTCAGGGGAACGAGTACAAAGAATCTAAAATAATATACAAAATAATATGAAGAACATCGAAACTGTTGATTTATTAAAATAGAAATAGATGATTAATTTTATCATTATGCGACAAGGGTAGGATTATTATTTCATAATTTAATTTTCTACCTGTTAGGTCTGAGCTATATTTAGATATTTTTAAATAAATATGGAAGAAAATATATTAATATATTTTATTTACAACCACATATATGTAATACTGACATTACTGAAAAAATTCGAAAGTGTCAAATTATCTAAATTTCTTCCCTCTTCCCGTTTCCCTCACCCTCACCCATTTCCATCACTCGGTTTTTCTTATTTCTCGCCTCATTTAATTAAGCAAAATATTCTTGTAATATCTTTATTAAATACTTATCTAACATCAACAGAAATAAACATAAAGATTAACAATAATAATTGAAGAGTTTAATACATTTATTTGTTGAAACTTATGGTCAAATTTGACCAGGGGTGGATGGGAAAGTGGAAACCGACCCGGGAATAACAGGCAACCGGCCCGAATCCACAAAAACAAAATGATCATAACGAAGAAACATATTTGATTTATTAATATACAGGGTGTCCCAGAAATAAGTGCAAGTATTTTATCTGGTAGTATATTTCAGCCTCAGAAACACGCCTATCAGTTTTTTTGCGAAAATTTGGAATTTTTTGAAGAAATTTTTGGAAATTTTTTTAGGTTTAAGTTAAGAAAACATAATTTCTTGATAAACTGGCAACATAGGTAGTAGATTAAATTTACATGAATGAAAATAGAGAAAAGATCCAGTGGTTCTGAAAATTTAAGCAAAAAAGCATTTTTTGTTTAAATTTTCAAAGTAAAATAACTTGGTTATTTTGGACTTACTTGAAAAACTATAAAGAGAAAAAATGTTTCTTTTAGCCAAATCTACCCCCCTTAAAATACTTGCACTTATTTCTGGGACACCCTGGATAAGGGTCAAATCACCTCAAGTAAGGGTGATTTTCGCTCGGGCGAAGAAATCTTTTATGCCTCCGATTTTTTAAAAATATTGAAATTGTCTCGATCAAAATTTTTATAAAGATCAATATCGGGTCGGACATGACTGAATTTTTACTAGAAAATCACTCAGTTTAACAGGGTTCTACCTACTGTTTTATTTCCATTATCGATAACGGTAATTAATTTGATCTTGAATATGATTACGATCTACGATTTTGAATCACGGTTTTGAGAAACTAAGACTTCCTGATTCATTCAGTTCAGCTGGCCCAATGTTGCTGGCCCCATGCAAGCTGTGAAATACATTATTTTTAGCTTTTCAGGTATATAGTTTCTTACAGATTGTAGAAAGAAATTCTCTCTTTTCTCGTACAGCAGCAGCTTCGTCATGTATACGTGTTTTAATTTTGGTATAATTCTCATCACGTAACTTCCTAGTTTCTACATTTGGCATCTTGTATGATAATGCCATGACTCAAACGAAAAAAAATTAGGCAATACCTAAGCAGTGGATATAAATGTGTTTTAATAAAGTGCTTTTTAAAAAAGAATAGGTGGTAAAACTATACAGAATGAGTCTTAAATAAGTGCAAATATTTTCAGGGGTGGTATATTTCGACCCCAGGAACACGTCTATGATTTTTTTTGTAAAAAAATATGTTGAAAATCGTGCTTTTTCGTTTAAATTTTCCTCTATATTTTAGAAAAATTTTTAGAACTTCCTGTTCACCGCAAATTTTCCCACGGTATAGTTTCTTAATATTTGATATTACGGCACAAAAAGAGATGCAAATACAGAAAGATTTAGGTGGCAAAACTTTTTAAAAATAAATCAGTTTTTTTTAAAATTCAAACTTTAATAACTCGGTTATTTTAGATTTATTTGAAACACGGTAAAGAGAGTATATTATGTTTCTTTTATTCCTCTCTACCAGCCCTGAAAATATTTGCACAAAGCAGCACAAATAAGGGGCACTTATAGACTCACCTTGTATAATAAAACATTTCAAATGGAAGAACAAACAACAGATGTTTATTAAAATTATAAGTGTCTCAGAGGAAGACATCTAACAATAGTTATTTTACAAATTGGTGTTTATGTGTTTAAAAGCAACTAAGGATTATATTGATGCAAATTGATTAGTTAGTTAGTTAGTCACTAAGAATCTTACGTAATTTTAGTTAGAAGATTAACCATTTAATTTTTGCTAAATCAATCTTTTTTTGAGCTCTGATCGGGACCGGCCCACCGGCCCATCTTGCCACCGGCCTACCGGGAATTTTCCCGTTTTCCCATATGGCCCATCCACCCCTAAATTTGACTTATTGTACGCGTTAATCGATATTGTTAAGGGGCCGTCCTGATGATGTGTTTCGCTCATTGAGGTTTCACTGCTTCAAAAACTTAACTCCTGACTTGTGCCAGGTCTTCTAATAGTAAGGAAAGAAGATAAAGAGTTTGAATTGCTACAGGAAGATGATGGCAACGATGTCGTTGAAGATATCATATTTGCGGTTTTAGTTTGGTTAGCTACAGATGCATCCACATAACCCTCAGCCACAGCACTGGATTTCCATCCCCCTAGACGCTTCAGCTGTAAAATATCAGCTCCGCTATTTACCAGCAACGTAGCCGCTGTTCGTATAACAGCATGACCTGTGTAGGTTTTCGCATTGGGAAGTTTCAAAAAGCTAGCAATTTTGTAAGGAAATTTAGATATAGAATTGTATCCACAGGGTTGATTTCGAGCTTTTCCTAATCGATATTGAACAAAAAATCTCTCATTTTCAATATCTCTTCGTAACTGTATAAATTCTTTCACAATTTCTATCCAACTTGTGTTAGTTATCATAAATGATCTGCTCTTATAAGTTTTTGTATTTCTATGCAAATTTTGTTTTCTAAAATATCAATATGCGTAGTTTTTATCTTCAGTAGCTCATCACTTCAACATTCCCCAGACACACTATAAGCGCAACGTAAAACAATGAAAAGAAATATTTAAAAACAGAAAAATAAAACATTTAAAAAAAGCCTTACTTTAATAGGAAAGAATTCTTGAGGTGCTTTCGTGAGCAAATCCTCCAAGTTTTGCCAGGTAAAAATGCTAGATAGCTTTGGCTTAAAACCTACATTCTGGCGTTTTAAAAAAGCGACGAGTTTGTGATATTTTGATATGTCAGTCTTTTCCCTTAATTCTAGCATTGTCCGTATCATGCTGTACGTAGCCCAAAGAGTAGGTGGCTTTTTCTGCTTTGCCATGTCGCCAAAATATGCCATCAAGACTGTCTCCGAAGCAATATTCTTAGCATTTCTTTCGGCACACCATTTTTCGTATACTTTCAATGCCATTTCATATCGCCCCCTACTTTTCTCTGGAAGTAAACTTTCTATATTATATAAATTTGGAAAAACGAACGAGAAATTCGAAACTGTCACTTAGTTGTTTGTTTTGCTGTTGAAGGTTTGCGCCATAACAACCACTGGTACCCCGGTAACTATAGATATTATGAAAATGCCAAAACAGAAAACGACAATTTTTTGCATATTTATTTTTTTTTCAAAATAAAATACTGTCCCTATTTTTTAATTAACGATGTGGTTGTAAATAAAATAGTATACAAACCTCCGAGGAAAGTTTTCATTATTGTCTCGAGATTTAGTTAATCTCTCGATCGTAATGGAACACTTGCCTCCTCGGTATGTAATATACTATTATACATCTCTAACCTGAACAAAATTCCAGGCAGCTTTGGGTCCATCTTTAGATGCCACAACTTTTTCTCCTTTGTACAAGGGTGCTGGATATACACCAGGATGCGGTTTGATTGCCACTTGACCAATGTATATATCTTGTCCATTTTGGGTCTTGCCAGGCGTATAAGCATCTTCAGGTATAATACCAGCATATGGTCGCCAATAATAATCTAAAAAAGAAACCAACCATTTTTTTTAAAACCGGGTGTGTCTCAAAAGTGGCTTATAACTTTTTTATTTTTTTAGATAAAAAACCGATATTTGGTATGTTCATATACATCATATGACATAAATTAGTATTGATTGACGTATTCAATTATTTTCGGTCACTTCTTGTTCAACCGTAAATGACTTCTAAAATTTTTGATTTTTAAATGGCACTCTTGGTATTTTTTACCTCATTTGATAAAAAATTACATTCATATTACATCCTAAATAGAATGACATAGCATATGTCAACTTTTGACATTTTTAATTAAAAAAAATAGCATTCTAAATTTTAATTTAGAGTGCCATGGCCATAAATGTAACAACTAACAACAATTTGACTCGAAATACCAAGTGTGTGGTACCAAATTATTCGTAAAAAATGCATTTCCCAAATATGCTAATGAGCCACCCTCGTCCCATTTAAAAAAAAATGTGATATGTTTAAAAATACTATTTGGGCATCTTTTAACTTTTAACCGACCAGGACAAGACACGAAAAAAGACGATTAGACGATCAAATCTATTTTTTCAAGGCTCTGGATTAAAAATTAGCATTTTTAACACTGCCATGGCACTCTAGATTGAAATTTGAAATACGTACCTAGTATATTCTTTTTAAAGCAAAAATACCAAAAGTTGATATATGATATATCTATTCTATTCAGAGTGTCATTTTCTATCGAATAAAGTAAGAAAATATCGAGGGTAGGGAGACCAAAAACAAATGAATACGTCCATTAATCCTAATTTATGTCATATACTAACATGCCAAATCTGTTTTTTTTTATCTGAAAAAATAAAAATAGTTATAGAGATGAGCCACTTTTGAGACGCACCCGGTATATAACTTGTTGTATATCGTTAGAATGTCAATGAATTTATCTATTTAGATCATTGATGATAGTGGTCAAAAGATGAAATGTCATCGCATGATAAATCTGAAAACACTGTTTTTTGGTTGAAAAAAGTAGCGGCATTGACAATAATTATCTTTTAGTTTTGGGATATCTTGTCAAATAGCGTTTGAAAAAATAAAATCGGAATCTTTAATTTTCGGTTTTTCTCGAATATCTCCGGAACTACTCGAACTGTTGAATGTTTCTAAATGACATACTATTAAGCACATTAAATGCACAAGTTTGTTTTAATTTAACCATCCTCTGGTATCTACTATGGTTTTCGAGATCCCATTGGTGTGGTTCGAATTTTTTTATCATGCGTGTAGCGGTGTAGATCTAAGTGTTAAGGCAATAAATTTGCAAAAATGTTTAAAATTAATTATATTAATTTGTGTATTATAATACATACCCATCAGTGAATTGGTGCCTCCTACTAAACACAATAAAGATATAGAAAAAACAAAAATCAGACATTTGGAACCCATTTTGAGCAACTCAGCGGAACTGTTAATCACTTACTGTTTAGAAAGGAATATAAGAGGCCTATATAACAATTTTTTATATCATATATATGTTTTAAGTATCATCAAGGGGTCACAATTAATTTGTAATTTTATTCATAAACAAAAATAATAATATTTACTTCTTCGGAAAGCTGATTGGGTAAAATGGTAAATCCCCATTATATCAACTTGAATTTGCGTATACATATATAATGAACTAATTAACATTAATGATTATGAAAGATAACATTTCTTTGATCTATTCGACCAACGCCTTTTTATTCCATTTATTGTTTCAATCAGTTATTATTTCCTTAACATCATTACATTATAATCGATAAATAAATATAAATAGAAGTCGTTGATTCTCATTTTTTGGTATTTTTGTTTCAGAAAAAAATAAAATGGCTTACTTCAACAAATATCTATAGTCCAGACCATATGAAATATTAAGTGTTTTCTAGTGTCAGTCTTTCAATATTTCATTATTCTCATCATAGCTTTAAAAACAAAAGAAAAGTCACAGGGTGTCCCAGAAATAAGTGCAGATATTTTAAGGGATGGCAGATCTGGTAAAAAAACATATTTTCTCTTTACCATTTTGAAAATAAATTGATAATCGAGTTATTTAACTTTGAAAATTTTAAAAAAATATGGCAGCATTTTGAGAACCGCTGGCAGATATCGCCAACACCATCCAGTTACCCGGATCGGTGCCCGGACCTCAGAAAATTCGACGCCCTGTGTTGCCGCATAGTCAAGAAAGTATATGCTTAAAAATAAATCAGAAAATTACACCACTTGAGGAGTTTAGCAGAGATAGCAGAGATACATTCCATTTTTAAGATGGTGTTACTATTATACAAAATAAATTAAAAGAAAAACTTATCCATAACATTTAAAAACAGACACTTATGACAGATTTAGTAATGACAGAAAAGTAACTGTGACAGTTCTCTTTTTCGAAGCACACTTAACTAAAATAGACTATTATAATAACATACAGGCTATTATAATAACTGCTAAAATAACAGTATCCATTTCTAACATATTATTTTCATATAGGCTTTATCATAATTTGTTTTTTTGCTATATTTTCGATGTATTTAGCATCAGTGGCGGACTAAGCCTGTCGGGGGCCCGCCCGGGGCGGCGAAGCTAAATGTGGCCCCCGGTCTATTTAGATAATGATATACTTCTAATGCACAATTTGTAAAAATTGAATGACGTATGTATAATGGTTGACAAAATTCAAGTATTTATACAGGGTGTCCCAGGCTGAGTCTGCGTTAGAAGTACTACAATATCTAGATACGAGATTTTGTACATATCATTTTTTCACAATGAGATCTATCGATTAAAAATATTTTCAATATGGCGGCACTTTCGGAAGTACCGGAAGTTGACAGCAACTTTCTTATTTTAAATGGGTGACTCCATTTTTTATTACATACTTAAATTCTCTGTAATATTTTATGAATTTTGATATAAAACACTCTATACCTAACGTTAACCGTTTTTGAGAAAAAAAAATTATAATTTTTGGAGAAAAAAAACTGCCTGTCAAAAATATGTATACAGTAGACTCCCGATTATCTGAAACGTGCGGGACCGGACCCGTTTCGGATAATCGAATTTTCGGATAAAGCGGAGGTGAAACTAAAAAAAACAATCTAAGTGAAAAAAAAAGAATCTAGTGTGGACTGTTTTGTTTTACAACGTACATTTTTAACAGCAATATTTCTCCATCTTCGAATCAAAAAAAAGTCGGTGGCTGTAGCTTCAGGATGCTGTTCAATATAAATCAGTGCTTTCTCGAAGCAATCAATTGCTTCACTGTGTGATTTTCTTGCTCTCTTCCTCCTCTTAGTCACTATTCTCACCTTCACATCCTGTGTCATTCTTTTCACTCGTAAGGTCAAACTAATTCGCGGTTTGATATCTCTTCTTCATCCAATTTATCAACTTGTTCTCAATTATCAAGCTCTTCCTTGGTAAGGTCCTTGAATTCAGGTATTTTCTTTGCAAGCTCATAAAGATTCTCGTCCTCTTTTTCATCATACCGATTCTCACCGTCATCATTTTTCACCTTTGTTGATTGTTTTAGTAGGTCTATAATTTTCTCCCAAGACTTCTGTAAGGTAGTATTCGGATAATTGAAAGGTATAAGAACATGCGTTTCGGTTAAAACGGAGTATTTATTTTGACAGGTCGTTTCGGATAATCAGGAGTTTCGGATAACCCGGATTCGGATAATCGGGAGTCTACTGTATAGCCTAAAGTCAAATTTAGTGATTGCCACAGCCACTGTACCATAAAGAGAAGACATGTGGCTATCTATGTCAAAAATTAGATTTTCCGAATGTCATATAATAATGGCCGTAGCTGTCATGGAATTGAGCTATTAAAAAATTATCATAAATCATTTTTTTCAAATCGAAATCCACTTTTTTTTATTTCACTAGTGAAAAGGCTTTCGTTACTTTCGTTTTTAAAATTTGTTACTTTTTGACTATACATGTTCCTGTACCTAAAATAAATCGTTTTAAGTTATTTAAGATTTAGCTTTAAAGCGTATATTTTTCTTGATTTTAACCAGTATACTATGACAGTATATTATCGATCATCATTTCCAAGCTATATAACTTTGCGCTGTTTTTTTTCGATCGTATGGTATATTATTAAAATATCAACTACTAGATATTACTAAAGAACGAAAATACGAGATATATTTATATACCTATGTGATAGTGGTAATCTAGTGGTATATATTGGTATATAGTGGTATCAATTTATATATTTATATAAATACACTTTTTAAACTTTTAAGGCAGCAGTAGTTATAATATAGGAAATTCAAATAATTCATTTTCTGAAAGATGGAAATAAATTATCTGACTGTTTGACACTTAATGCCAAAGGAAGCTAGATAAAATCAAGAAAAATATACGTTTTCAAACTAAATCTTAAATAACTTAAAAACGATTTATTTTAGCTATAGGAATATGTCTAGATAAAACGTAACGAATTGGAAAACCTTTCCACTAGTGAAATAAAAAAAGTGGGTTTCCATTTGGAAAATTATTTATGATAATTTTTTAATCGCTCAATTCCATGACAGCTACCGCCATTATTATATGACATTTGAACAATTTAATTTTTGAAATAGATAGCCACATGTCTTTTCTTTATGTCACAGGGGCTGTGATAATCATTAAATTTGACTGTTAGGCTGTACAAATTTTTTTGACAGGTAGTTTTTTTCGTCCAAGAATTTTAAATATTTTTTTCTTAAACATGCTTCCAGGGAAATACCGCGACAAAATATCGCGATTTTGTAAGTCCTCCAAGATCCGAGAAGCCCCTTCGCTGTCTCAGGCCCGTGGCCCCCGTTATACTAAAGACTTCACTGCTCATCATCACTAATGAAGCTGGAATACAAGTTATGCTGTGCATTGGTTGTAATTTAAAATGTTTATTCAGTAAAAATAAATAATGAAACCATTGAAAAATAACTTAAAAACTAAAATAAATAAATTCAGTCTCAAAATATATAAAAAATAATAATTATTCGATATTTTAAAGAAAGAAAATTACCCCTTGATTCAATTTCCTAAATAGAAAATGCCATTGACAATTACTGGGGCCTAATAATTATAATTAAGTAAATATCTGCTTCCATTTATACTGTTTATAGTTGGCGTATACGTATGGTTTGCATACTCCACCTACAAACTGCTTTATAACTATTGAACACATATTGGCCTTCTTTGCCAGGTGAATAAAAAATTACTTATATATATATATATATATATATATATATATATATATATATATATATATATATATATATATATATATATATATATATATATATATATATATATATACTATAAAAAACAGAGAAAGCTGAAAGGAAACAAACAAACGGTTGAATCCAAAGCAATCAAAACACGCATGTCGAGACAGTTGCCCAACTTAAAGGGTATGGGTATGAAATAATTGTTATTACTGTTTTATTTTGTACTGTAATCAATAGGTATCTAAAAATGTTATATTAAATTGAGCAAATATCAATCAAAATATGAATTAAAATTTGTGAATTTATTAAGAAATTTAGATAAAAGATTAAAATTAACATTCCTAATTTTTGGTAAAGAAATTTAAAATTGCTATGAATTTATAAATATAGGAATATGTAGAATGTCGATTCGTCGATCGTAGAATGTCGAACGCAGGACGTGGCAACACTGCGAGGTTTAGATAATAAATCGAAAGGTTATTAAAACTTTAACACCCTCTAGCTACGAAACAAAGCAGCATCAGACCTATGTTGGTATGAAAAAAATCTTATTTTTACGTGAGGAATCTCCCCACGAGAGATGGCACATGTTTTTTGAAACACCCTGTATACAATGTTCAGCTCTTATTATAGCAGAATTATAAAAAATAGTTTGTGAAAAAGGATTTTAGGAAGATTCGTCAACACTTAGATGAACGAGACATAAAATATACTGAAAATTGGAATTCTGTTAAATATTATGAAAAAAAAAACGATAGCCACAAAAATTAAATTTAAAAAGATATTTTACATTTTACATGCTACGATTTATTAATGATACAATCAATAGTTATGTTGAATATTAAGATTTATCTAAGTATGGGATGAACAAAATTAAAAAAAAAATTACGAGGATTTATCATTTATCAAACACTTCAAAAATGATTAATTTATTTTATCTATAGGTTTGTATTTATTCGGAGTGCACATATTATTTCTAAAATCTCTTAAGGAACTGACAAGTTAATAAGAAAAAAATCCCTGATATTTTCAAGGATATTGAGATAATATAAAATTAAAATAAATAATTAAAAAATAATAATAATAACGTATACACTAATTGTAGCTCTTAAAGTATTTATTTAAATTAAAAAGATCATCTATATGGACCTGTTTCCAAATCATTTGAACTTATAAAATATGATTAATAAATTCATTATTAAATGGATTGATATAAAGAATTTAAATAAAAAGGGAAGCAAAGAACACTCTTAATTAAATACAAAACAGCTTGAAACTAATTACTATAATCAAACCAATCGAATAAATTATAATATCAAACGAAAAAAAAACATACTCTAGAAACTTAAAGCAGCATAAATATTTGCTGACTATGTCAACATGATGTCAACCATTGGTTGGTAGTGTATACTTGGGCTTCCCCACAACTTTCGGTCTTCGCCCCCTGGCTTCATATCTCAATTTTCAGTTGGTTAGCCATGGCCCAGAACGGGGTCCTCTGTAAACGCCCCACCCCTGAAGGGGGTGTAACTACGCCACTGCTTAATATACCGTGCTGGCAACTGTTACTTTTGTGTCGGTATTTACATGTGTGGAAGTAAATCGCATAGGGATCTTATTAAGTCGGAGTGAGATATGCGAAGGTGTGCTGTTGCGGCGTTGCCGGTACGCCTTTCCCTATCAAGTAAAGTAAAATCACTATCGCAAACCGCTTATTTTTAAAATACTTTTTTTTCTACAAGATAACTAGATTACATCATTTGACATGTTTCTGAGCATCTGAAATTGATTTTTATTTTGAAGATCGGATCTTTTACAATATGTTTACATAAGAAAAATTAGATAAGGTTGTTTTTTTTTTCATTCAAAAATTGTAAACAACCCATCCATTTACTTTTAGAGCATAGCAATTTTCAGCAATCGTGTAATTTTTTTATTGATGAAGATTTTTTTTTACTATCTACGAAGAAAATACAGCAAAAATATTAAGCAAGTTTTTGAAAAAAACTATAATCAATTATTTCTAATAGATTTCGAGATATCGATTTTTGAATTCAGAGTTCTAAAAGCGCGACCACTGTCGAACAACTCAATTCCACTTATTTTTACCAAAAATGCAAGTGTTCACTTAAAAATTTTTAAGGTATAGGGAAAATTACAGTTGTACAAATATAGGAAGAGACTTGGGGATAGCACCGGTCGCCGTGTTATTTTATATTTCTCACATCTCTAGCTATACTTGTTAAGTTGTACAACGACTCGTTGATAAATAAACAAGTAAAGTATCACGAGAGGTAATTAAATCGTGAAGCTGAACGCATGATGTACACCTTTCCCTAGAACTTTAAGTATTGACAGAGGTACTGATTGGGTTGACCGGTCAACTGCGACAAATCTGCAATATCACCTTCCACGTCTCTTAGGAATGTGTACAGTTTCTCGGTTTATTTCATACGTTTGGCAACGTGTTTACCCTTTGTTCAGAGTACATTATAAACGCATTGTAGTGTTCTTACATACGGAAATCTCGACCCAAAACTAACCTTTGCCAGCCCTTAGTAGAAGGTATAGTAACAATATGATCGAAAAAAAACGGTGTTAGCGGTGGCTATGAAACGAACATCGCTGTCATTTTATATTTAAAATTTTATGGTGAATGTTATCGATGTTCATTTCCAAGCCAATTGGACCCCGGTTTTTTCGATCATACGGTATAACGTAAGATACTATTTAATTTAACGTCCAGAACGTTTGATATTAACTGTAATACTAGAGCGATAAGCTGCGTTATTATCACCGTCATCATAAGTCAGAACCTCATAAGAACTGGCACTTTTCTCAGAATTGTTGTGCGCAAACCACATCAAAGCATTGCCCACATGGCCAGCGAGGATTTTTCCAATGATCATTTCACCCTGGTTACTTATTCTGCCGATATATAGACGGTTTCCTTCTTCTATGCCCGCTAAAATAGGGTGGTAGTTTCTTGGGATCAAGTGAAGTTTTGTAGCGTCAGTTCGGATCCATTTGAAACGTTCAGCATGTCGGGTGCACAGGATCTAAGAAAAATCTGGGTTAATTTTTGCAATCAATTATTTATTTTGAATATTTCGGGTCTTATAAACTATCCAGACACACACAGATTTTTTCTGTAAAACTTCTTTAAGCGCGATGGGAGTAAAAATTGAAGGCCGTGACACACGAGACGCGAGAGGAAAAGTGATAACGATTGGAGGTTACGACGGTGCGTCGTAACTCGGGTCCTATCTGAGGTAGGGGGCTGAAATTCAAAATGTAGATGGAGCGCGATCTTTTCATGATAGCCCCATCTTTTCATGATATTTTGACGACGTTTTGTGCACTATGAAACCCTATTATCAATAGAGAAAAAATCATCTGATTTAATGGGTCTTTGGAGCGTCCTAAGTTGGGTCCTATGTGAGCTAGGGAGCTAAAACTCGGAATGTAGATGTGGCTCGAAGAGTCCCATATTTTCATGACATTTTGACGACGTTTCGAGCACTACGAAACCCTGTCATCAATGATTCAAATAAAACATTGCCCGATTTAAATGAAATTTGTAAGTCGATAGATTGGACCAAGACCAATTTGATTGTGTACGACACGTGTCACTGTAACAGTTAGTTTTGACTATGTAGGTTATGTGAGTGACGGTGCACAGGATCTCACCCTCCAAAGTTTGATACGATGTTTCGTTTACATCTTCATCATGGTGCGATTATGGATTTGATATTGAAGAAAAATGTGGGTCGATCTCGGCGTAATTGTGGACGGGTTACAAGATGATGCCCACGACTTTTCGAAGCGATGCCTCTATATGGACGAAATCATCAGTATTTTTCCCTTAATTATGGGTCGATTGGAACCAAACTAGGCACGTAGATAGAGGTACCCGAATGGAATGCTCAGACAGGCGGACATATGAACAGACAGACTTGTATTAATGATACGGTTCATTAATAAAAGGACCGAGGCATCGTAAATTCGTCTAGACGTTATCAAGTCTATTATAATAAAGAAATGGTCTTTTTATAGAAATCCCTCAGGATATCGACTGGTAAATTAATTTTCTTATTATAATTTACCCTAAAATTAATAATAACATTACTATTCTCTTCGTCGATTCGATTTTTTTAATTTTTAATTTGTATATGCTATATCGAGTTTAATAAATTATTATTAGTTTATTGCACTCGTTTTTTATTAATAATCCCTAATGGAAAAATTTACTGTGCTCGTAAGTAAGTCGGCACTATTAGTAATTTTGTTACCTTTGTAGCTAAGGGCTTGTTCAAATGGAAATCTATTTATAGTAGAATTATTTCAGGTAGTTGGCTGGGAAATAACTATCAATGACATTTCATATCAAGGACAGCGATGTTCATCATCGATTATACGGTGTAACAAGAGTTACTAATAGTGTCGACTTTTAAATGTATAACTAAATAGGTTATGAAATTATTTCATTGTATTAATGATACGGTTCATTAATAAAAGGATTTAAGTATATTATAGTAATGAAATCTGTTCATTGTACCAATGAATGTGTTCTTCAAATTAATGAACACTGTTCATTGATTTAATGAACTTAAAGTTCATAGAGTTAATGAATTACTTTTCATTGTGCCAATGAAATAATTCATCGGCTCAAAATTAATGATTTAATTCATTATATTAATGGAATTTTTCATTATATTTATGTCGACTTTTGGTTCAATATGCGCACAGGGTATTCTTTTTTAATTCAATAAGTAGCCATTTTTAGTAGTAATTTTAAATAAGTAAAAATAAGTATTATGTACGGAATTTGAAAATATTTTAATATAATTTTGGTATTGTTTCACACAAATTTGACGTTACTGCAAATTTTATTATATTTATTATATTATAGATTTTAGCGAAAAATAAAATATTATAGATAGAAACGAAAAAACAAACGAGAGAAGCGAAAGCAATCAAAGCACGTTTACACAGCGTGATTCACCGAGAGCCAAATGTTTTTAATAAAAATAAAAAATATAATCAAACTCCTTTTTTGAGTCCATCCACAAAAAAGGGATGCATGGAAACTAGGCTTAAATTCTAGATAATTTACTTTTACTAGCTGATTTGGAAACCATGTATCAATCCTTTCTTAACATTCAATCTTCACTAGTGCCAGCATAAACATGGTATAATAGCATAAACCTATGTCATAAACGTAGAAACGGATATAAACAAGTCCGCGACTTTTTTTTATTATCGGTTATAGAATTTGTAGTAGTAAAGTATCCAGGGGAAAAACATGATAAGCGCCATTTTACTAATTTTACAGAAGAGCACTGAACTGCTGGCGGTTAACAGGTTCTTTCTGTGTATTCTATATTTTTACTAGACATATATTTCAGAATTTAACAATTTATTGCCCTGCAGAGTATATACAGTACATCTGCTGGATCTGTGTCTATGAAAGGAATGCGGACAAAAAACATTTAAATAAACAGCAATATATTTTATACGTCGATTTGACGAGTGCGTCACCGCAAATCGCTCCGCCCACGCATTTTATTGGCTACTTGCAAATTTGTTGAATTTTTATTGATGGGACGCGTCGTCTATTTTTTACGAAAAACATCGAGAGAATATCGTTTCCCCTCTCACGGATTCCCCGTAGCTACAGAACGGACAGACGTACTGTACTTTTGTAGGGACCAGTTAGACCTATTATAATATTGTAAAATCCTAAAATTAAGAAATCGGAAATCGGCGCTTATCAAGTTTTCCCTGGACACTTCATTTGGTATAGAAAATAAACTATAAGCGATTAAACTTTTAGTTACGTAATCGAGGGCGCGATTTTTAAATTCATTGTTGCCAACCATGGATATATTCGGCGCTGACTAACTAGAATTTAAATTTTCCGCTGGGGTTCAGATGGTATAGGCTGTAAAAAATTTCAAGTTGCCACATTTATTTATATATTTCCTGACATTGTCATTCGTTTTGACACTTTAGTTTTGTATTACGAGTTTTTTGGTTTAAATGAATTGTGTTAAAAATGTTTACTAGGAGATCTTGCAGTCGAACATTCTTCTTTTTGGAACCTCTTTTAGTGCGAAATGTACAAATAGCTTAATATCTTTAAATATCGAGAAATAAAATATGTTTTGGCAACACCGTACGAAATATCGCCGCGCGTAGTCCTCAAAATTTAAAATATTAGCATTTTCAGGCTTCGATTATGTTCAAAAGCGCCACGGTGTGACAAATCACTAAAGCTTCCACACGAGAGTTCTTAAAACTATAATATTCTTTGCTGTTATTTATAATTAACTGATTTTTGTTTTCTAAAATATTTTGATTAAAAGAAAATATGTAAAAGTGGGCAACGCTGTCCCGGTCAAGCTTAATCACGTGAGTAAAAGTTTAACTGGTATGAACTATAACAATTTTAGTATATTTTTATGAGAAACAGGTTTTTCCATATCAGACTTTATTCAAATATCAAATTCATGTTAAGGTAAAATTTGTGTCTGGATAGTTCACTGAAACCGAATTTTTCATTACACAAAATTCTTGCAGATATAGACAAAGTAATATATACTATATGTATACAAACTGTTGAAGTTTCAATATGAAAAAATATATTTCAAACTGGAACTTGGAATTGTCAAAAGCTAAACAAGACTAGTGAGAAGAAACACTGTTAGAATACCTGTACAAAATTGCTGGCTTCTCTTGGTCCATCTATCGAAGCGACTATAGGTTTTCCGGGTCGTATTGCTGTAGGATATACCCCAGGTCTTTCTACTATGAACGTCTGACCGACATAAATCTTGAGACCATTTACATCAATTCCTGGAGAATAGGCATCGGGAGGTGTTCTTCCATGGTAGTCACGCCAACAATAATCGATATTAGGATTCTTTGCCGCCATACTGATTACTTATCAATAAACTCATAGCAGCTTTTTGTAGGGAATACTACAGGTAACTTATCATTCTTATCTCCCATCGCGGCATCGGTGATAACCGTTGTCAACATCTTATCATGTTATATTTACTTTTTTTTTATTAATCAAAATATAACACAATAGAATACATAAAAAGCAAAAGATAATAAAAGGTAAAAGGTAACACAATATAGATTGCGTATTTTACCTAATAGTCAAAAATTAGTAAAATACAGGGTGTCCCAAAAATAAGTGCAAATATTTTAAGGGGGTGGTAGAACTGGTTAAAAGAAAGATATTTTCTCTTTACCATTTTTAAAATAAACTGATATTTTATTTCGGTTATTACCGAGTTATTTAACTTAAAAATTTAACGTTAAAAATTTACCATAAAAATGGCAAAATTTTGAGAACCGCTGGCGATAATCGGCTATTAAGGGCTTTTCAGTTTATTCGACGCCTTGTGTTGCCAGATGGCCAAATACGTAAATCGTAAAACTCCACAGTATCCAAAGGATTTTGCATAGATAAGTTACTAAACTTGTGTTATCATACAGAAAGGAAATAAAAAAACTTACCCACAACTTCGGCAGATCGAGGTATAAATTCCTTTTTCGTTTTTTGAAGAAAATGTTACATTTTGAAGAAAATGTAAAAAATATAACATTTTCGACAATTTTTTTTCACAAAAAACCCTCATAGACGTTTCTATTGTCGAAATATACTATCAGTTAAAATACTTACACTTATTTCTGAGACACCCTGTATATATCTTACCTATTAGAACACTCCAATTTTGCAATATAGGTTTTATTTCTCTCAGGTATTTGCTGAATAGTCTACAACAAAGGTACCTATTAAACAAACATGTTAGTTTGTAGCAAACTAACATGTTAAAACATTTTCGAAGCTCTCAAAGAAGTAGTAAACAAATTTCAGTATTTGTAGAACATTTTATATACTTTTAGAATATATAGACATTTAAATGACTTTTCAAATACTTGTTTTTGAAATATATACATGTCGGCTAAATCTTTCTCTACGTCTTCAGGGTCCGACAATAGTGCGTCGGGCACAATGACCTGTCGGACACATGCAGCTCCTATAATAAAACACTTGGGAATTTTGTTTAAGTGCAAACTAGAGTTTAGGTTTTATAGAGTTGCTCAAAAAAGTGTGGGTTGATGGATTAAATTTTTGTACAGTACATCCATTTTTTCTGTAGCTACGGGTCATGACCGTTAGGGGGAAAATGAAATTCTTTGTTAGCCAGCAGTTCATGGGCGTGCAATTGTCAAGACATCTTTCAATGTCAAGAAAATGACGACCCCTAGCTGGAGCTCGGTAGGCTTAGCAGTTAAAGGGATATTTCATCCCGATTCATATGATTCATTATTATACGTAGTATTTAAAACTTTTATATTATGGAGATTCAAAAAACATTTACAGCAAATTAGAAACATTTTTCGGGGTTGTTCAAGACTATTCAAAATGATATAACTGGCTGTATTTCAGAACACGCTACAGAACTAATAGAATCCGAAATAAAAAGCGCGTTGTTTTATTCCGGCCAAGCAGATCATACAGAAAAGTTTCAGCGTGCTATTTCAATTCGATATGTTAATAAAAGGGGGGAAGTCAAAAACCTTCTTTGCGAATTTTATTTTATTTTATGAAATATTAGATAACACTGCTTTACATTTAGAAATAAAGTTTGCAGATATATCTCAATTATTTTTATTTATCTATTGAATAAATTGCAGGTATTAATAATAGATATGACAATTTTCGATTATAAAATAAATTAACGAGAATGATCCTGGAGATATATTTCCAGAGCGTTGCAAATGGTTCGTTTTAATTGTTACTACACCATTTACAAGTACTTGGGTTGAGAGACATTTTTCATGTTTAAAATGCATTAAAATTTACAGGAGAAATTCCACGAAAAATAAACGTTTATCGTCACTTGCCTTACTTTCATTCTAAATAGATATTTTCACAGCCCTTCAACAATCTAATGATTTTACTGATATAATAATAAATAACTTTTCTTTATTAAGAGATCCACTCATCAATTTAATATATAAAACATAATTATTCTTTCCTTTTTTATTAGTCTCGAAATATATTTGTATATGAATAAGAGAATCTGTTTTTTTTGTAAATTTAATTGTCTATATACTTACGAATTTTTAAGTTTGCGTTAATAAATAAAATAAAATAAAATACTATTATGTACTCCTTGGTACTATTATCTATCTTATTTATCAAAGTACTTAAAAATGAGCATTTGAGGAGATTAAAAAAACTTATACTTGTACATTATGTCAATCATTATGTCATTACGTTGAATGCTGCTATGTTTGCTTTAGTTTTGCCCTAAATATACTTGAGCTATGTTTTTAACCCAGTGATAACATATATTTACGAATTGGGTTAGGGTATTATGTAAATTAAAAAAAAATAAAGGGGGAGGGGCAAATAGATGCAACTAAAAACTTGTCGCCTACCCAGTTCCACGGGTAATGAGCGGCCACTGGTGTGTCCTCATTCTTGAAAATACTTTCCTAGACACAGATTCAGAAGATGTATTAAATCACTACCTATTATTCGAAAGTACCTACTAGTAAAAATACCTATTATTCTTAATCAATATCTTTTAATAGTTAACGACAGTGTTACTAAAATCGGTCACTTTGCCAAAATATGTCTTGCAAGTTCATCAGGTTTGATATTCAGAATATATTTTGAATGTTCCTAATAGATAATACTTATATAACACATATCCAAAAATATCCTTATGGGTTTTTCGCCACTGCACTGCAAGAAAAATCTACAAAATAAAATAGTTATTTTTTGTAAACACTTCTGGCGTTAAACCTAAACGGACGCTGCTTGTCAGAAGTTGTGTTTACAGTAATAAAAATTTGCCTAACAAAGAAAAAATGCTTAACGTTTCGGAAAGTTTTCTCTTTCCGTCGTCGGAAGCAAAAAAATATAAAGAAACAAGAAAAAAAAAACTATTTAAAATATTTAAATTGAACTATTCGAGAACACTTTACTTTTTAAAACAGATACGTCTACAAGAAATCGTTGACGTTCTGTTAAAATGACATTATATTAAGTTAAACTTCAAAATTAACAATTACTACCTGATAATTACTTAATAAGGTAAAACCAAAAAGCCCAAACTTTCTGTATGATTATTTTTAAATTTTACGTATGTTATGTTTATTTATGTAATGTTCTTTAAAATGAAAGAAGCGATTGCCATACATTACTAACATCTACAGATGCATGAGTAATACATTTATTTTTATTAGATTGAATTAAAAAAGCCTCTTTTATTTTTCTTTTAGAGGCTATCGCTTCTTTCATTATAATTTTGGCGTTATTAAAATTTATTCTGTGCCCTGTGTCCCATCAATGCTGACAAATCTTAGATTTGTGAAAATCTCCCTTTCTTAAATAATCCTTATGTTCTTTAATTCTAACATTTAAGGGTCTAGATGTTTCACCAATGTAAAATTTATCGCATTCACAGGGTATTTGGTATATTACATTTTTTGTTTGTTGTTCTGTATTCATTGGTTTAGTATGTGATAAAATTGATCCAAGTGTATTTTGTGTTTTGAAAGATGTTTGTATGTTATATTGTTTTCCTATCCTTCTTATTTTTTCTGAAACGCCTCGTATGTATGGAATTGTAAGTTGTATATATTGTGTATTGTTATCTTTGTGTCTATGATTTGGGGTTTGTATTTCGTTTAATGTTTTGTCAATAAAATATGGTGGATAGTCGTTTTTTATTAATGTATTTTTTATGTGGTTTATATCTTTGTTTAGTGAAATGTCGTCTGTACATATTATTTTTGCCCTATCATATAAACTTTTTATAACACCTTTTTTTACACTTATACTGTGATTAGATGTGAAATTTAAGTATCTATCTGTGTTTGTGGGTTTTCTGTAAACATCTAAAATTAGTTTATTTTGAAATTTTGACACTAAAACATCAAGAAATGGCAAACGATTACGTCTCTCTACTTCTAAAGTAATTTTATGGTAGGTTCGCGAGAATTTATATGTTCCAAAAAAATGTCTATTTCAGAAACGTTATGTTGCCATATTGCAAAAATATCATCAACATAACGCAGCCATATTACAGGCTTTTTTGAAAAACTATTTATTGTATTATTTTTAAAATCTTCCATAAAAATATTACTTAACAAAGGAGAGAGAGGCGATCCCATTGCCATACCGAAATCTTGTTGAAAAAATTCATTATTTAATTGGAAATAAGTAGTTTTTACACAAAGTGTCAACAATTCCAAAATACTATATATGTTTAATTTTGTTCTATCTATTAAATGTGTATCTTGTTCTAGTCTATCCCTAACTATTTTAAGTGATTTATCTACCGGCATATTAGTGAAAAGACTAACAACGTCAAAACTAACCATTAAACTGTTAGGTTGAAATTTTTTCTATAAAGTGTGGTGTGTTTTTAATGTATGAATCGGTGTTAATTGCAATCGGATTTAATATGTCTAGTAAAATGGCGAAAACCCATAAGGATATTTTTGGATAGATGAATCCGCCACATAGATATAGACATTTTTTACTTATATAACAAGTTTACTTTATAATATATACAGGGTGTCCCAGAAATAAGTGCAAATATTTTAACTGGTAGTATATTTCGGCCTCAGAAACACGCCTATGAGGTTTTTTTTTGCAAAAAAAAAATTTCAAAAATTTGGAATTTTTAAAAAAAAAATTGGAATTTTTTTTTTGTTTTAAGTTAAAAAGCATAATTTCTTGATAATATGGCAACACAGGTAGTATATTAAAATTACATGAAAGAAAATCCAGAAAAAAATCAGTGGTTCTCAAAATTTAAGCAAAAAAGCATTTTTTGTTTAAATTTTCAAAGTAAAATAACTCGGTTATTTTGGACTTGGACTGAAAAATGGTAAAGAGAAAAAATGTTTCTTTTGACCAGATCTACCACCCCTTAAAATATTTGCACTTA